ACCTATCATTCGGCGTGTCTAAATAGTGGCTCCGAGATACCTACCGCCAAATGCGATGGTCTCAAAGTTGGCGACGTTGTCAACTTCACCGCACAAATCTTGGTGACTTCTTGCCCAACAGATCCACGCGAATGGAATCAAGTCATTCAAATCTATCCAGTTGGTATTAATGAAAGCTTGATAATCGATTTGCAAATGCTCTGCTCGTGTCCTTGCGAACGTCCCGGCGCCATAGGCTATGAGGCGCATTCATCCAAATGTAACAATCATGGTACGTTAATGTGTGGCATCTGCGAGTGTGATGACATGCATTTCGGTCACAATTGCGAGTGTTCTACGAGCGATGTGCACACAGGTAAAGATAATGATTTGGGCTGTCGTCCGGATAATACGACACAAGTGGACTGTACCAATCGCGGCACTTGTTTGTGCGGTGTATGCGAGTGTGAGAAACGTCAAAATCCAGAGGAAATTATTTCGGGCAAGTTCTGTGAGTGTGATAACTTTTCTTGCGAACGTCATAAGAACTTGCTTTGCTCTGGACCCGATCATGGCACTTGCGAATGCAATCACTGTGTATGCAAGCCAGGCTGGACGGGTTCGGCGTGTGATTGCCGCGCCTCGAATGATACCTGCATTCCGCCAAATGGTGGTGAAATCTGCTCCGGACATGGCGAATGTGAATGTGGTGTGTGCAAGTAAGTACATGCGCGGTGTTTATATAATGTTATATTTATTAATTTTCGTTGCAGATGTAAATCTACCGACGAGGGCCGATATTCTGGCAAATACTGCGAGAAATGTCCCACTTGTGCAGGACGCTGCCACGAGCTGAAGGATTGTGTGCAATGTCAGATGTACAAGACTGGCCCACTGAAAGACGAGAACGACTGTGCCGTTAATTGCACTGATACTTTTGTGCCCATAGGCGAGGAGAAAATCGTAATTGATGAAGAGAAAGATGAACAGCTTTGTATATTCTATGATGAAGATGACTGCAAATTTACATTTAAATATAGCGAAGTGAACGACAAAATCGAAGTGCACGCACAGCAAGAGCGCGAATGCCCGCCCAAGGTGTTCATGTTGGGCATTGTATTGGGCGTCATAGCCGCTATCGTCTTGGTGGGCCTGGCCATATTGCTTTTGTGGAAATTACTAACAACCATACACGATCGCCGTGAGTTTGCACGCTTCGAGAAGGAGCGCATGAACGCCAAGTGGGATACGGTAAGTTTGAGAAAGGCAATTCTACAAAATATCGTAAAATTTTTGGCGGGAAAGGATATACATATGAGTTTAGATCAGAGTTTTGAATACGTATATGCAGAAAATGCAAAGAGACCGCATATCACAATAAGATATTTTTGGTGGAATTGTCAGATTCATCGGTTTTTGTGCTGTCACGGCACCGAAATACGACGAACCAGATTTAAAGTAGCCGAACCCTTGCTTAATACAAAGGCAAAAAGTGACTCAGATCTGCATTAGTCTCCTTTGCAGAAATTCGATAAGATAAACACCCTCATTGCGAGAGTCGTGTCGAATGCAAGTCGTTTTACGAGAGTCGAATCGTATCGAAAATTTCACGTCATTGCCACAAATTTCCACTCGACTAGTGTATTAAAACGGAAAAACTTGGCAGCACTATATACTTTTCGACGGTTTTCGTCGTTTACTTATTTCAGCACGACAGTAGACAATGGGAATGTTGTCGAGTCGTACAATTTAGCTTAATTTACGACTTACGCAATGAGGCTGAAAAGCTTTGTTGCAAAATCTGGTTCAACGGCTAGCTGCGCGCTTTCATCCACGGCCATGTCCAACCTTTGTTCGAGGCTTATAACGTACCCGGTCGGAGATTTTTTTTTTTAATTCCCGGAAAGCTGTATAAATCTCGTTTTGCTTTTATTTTTGTTTTTGTCTTAAATTTTGATTTAGGTACTCCGCACATCACGCGCCTAATCATAGTAGAGTAATCGTTTTGATATTTTTTATATCTTTTCAGGGTGAGAATCCAATCTACAAGCAAGCCACCTCGACTTTCAAGAATCCAATGTACGCTGGCAAGTAAAGTACTTTAATAGCTTTTGCAGCAGAGCCGGGAAAGGAGCTGCAAACTAACTAATACATATTTGCTCGGGCAATGTTGCATTGTTTGGGTTACGAATTTCTCTCTAATTGCCATACGTTAAGGAGTTTATGTCAAAGGGAGCGTGCATCTAAGTGAAAAGTAAAGAAAAATATTTATTACAGAAAGGAACGCATATGTATATCTTAAGCTCTTTTTGTTTAGTATTTATGCGCACCTAAATGTGTGTATTTAAGTGCACGTAAATGTTGT